CTGCGGTTTGTTTGACACTATTGACCCAAACGCCGCTTGTTTTTGTTACTGCATCCGACGCGAAAAATAAGAGCACGTTGTGTCGAATACAAAACATGCACGAGCACTTCGTGAGCCTTGGTGCTTTTGTGTTTTATTTGAGGTTTACGCTAGTTTTCACTCAGTAGGCCCATTCTGCGATCAAACGCTACGAAATAGACTGCGGCGATACAAATTTGTTTTGTTTTTCACGTGGACCAATGTTACCAGCGAGCTCTAGTGGCGGAGCACCGAGTTGGAAAATTGCGTATGCTCGAAACGGACCCACATAAATGTAAGTAAACTTCGAAAACAAGGAAGCGTGTTAACAAAAAAATAGAAAAGAAGCTCGCCTAAACTTATCGCACGGGGCGTAGCGGCAGCGGTATAACGAGCTGAACGATCGTTGAGCGCCGATCAGCCGCAGGGGGCAACAGTATCGTGAGCTAAGTGCAGCAATTACGCGCTGTCAGCTCCGCGACAGGCGAGTGACAGCAGTCTGCGGCGCAGCTCGCAAGCTCGATTGTTCGTATGCTTCGTTCGCTTATTCTTACTCATGCCGCACGAAACAAATAACGTCCTACAACAGGCCACGCCACTGAGCAGCGGCTCGTATTACCACGGGGTTATGTCGTCGTATTGTGAGAACTATACCGTGTTCTCTCTTGTACGACGAGTCCAGGCGGAAGGAGCTTCAAACAGAGCTCCTTCATCGGGCCGGAGTTTAGGACACCATCGGAGTATTAAACTGCAACCCGCTGCAGTATGTAACTCTGCATCTGTGCGCGCGCTGTCCTGGTGCCCAGCGAGTTGTTTTTTAAAGACGACCGTCTTTTTTGGGGACCTTCTGCGCAAAACTTTTTTCTGTCTGTCTGTCTGTCTGTCTGTTCGTATGCTGAAACAATACTCGAAATGGCAAAAAAACCCATCTGCAGCACCCAACAATATTTTTCAAGTTTCAGCGTTTTTACTTGTGCGCTTATAATTAAACAGCAAATATTGCCCGTATATGAGGCACAAAACAACACTTCAATATTCTGTATGTGTCTCTTTATGCTAGAAAGTGCACACATAAGTAATTCTAAGGACTGAAGCGTTTATCACGCTGCGCTGACAAGGCAACGCTATATGCAAGAAAAGGCAAGTGTTTCCATCGCTTTTCTAAGACGACATGGTGGTAGCATCTACACGTCGTCTTGCGTTCTACACCTTATCGCCTCCGAGACAGACGCGCATGCCACGCGCTTCGTTTTTCAAAAGAACTGCCAGATAGAGCTCATGTCTCACGCATGACGTGCCTCGATGCGCTCGTTCGCCTCCGCTGCACGCATCGGGGCACTCTAACGCAGCGCCTCCGGAATATCGTTCACCGATTTTCTCGCACAGAACATCAAATAAACACTTTGTTAGCTCTCTGCAGACGCAAGACTATCGTCTTTCGATGACATTTGCAGTGAAACATGCAGACAAGGGACCAAGATTTTAGATGCGGAGCTCTTGCTCGGGTGTATGTCCCGCGGCGTCGGCGTCCGCACTCACACGTAACTTTGCCTCTTCTCTCTCTCCAACAGGTATGCTTTACTCTCCCCACTTCTACCTTCTGCTTGCGCTTTAGCGTTCTCGCTTCTGCTCTTGCGGCGCATGTGCTACTATCCTACTCTAGTCTCCTCCTCTCCTTCGATTACGAATATAAAGCGGCTGCGCATGCGTGCTCCCTCCCCTCCTCTCCTACACTTCCCCTAACTCGCCTCGCAACACCGACGAGAGCAGCGTATGCTAGCGAGTTTCTTGAATAAAAGCACTGACTGCTCGCGCTGCACAACCGTTCGCTGGCTACAAAGAACCCAATGTATGTACTAGCACTGGATCTTGACATCAAACGTAGAGCCAGGGGGCGATTTCTCTTTGGCGTTGTTAAACAATAAAAAAGCGATCCCTATGCTGTAGTAGGAAACACTGGTCCATCACTGCGTGCTTTGCTCCACCCAGTTTTCCCTCCTGTGCAATGCCGCCGCCAGTGTAAGCGTTAGCGTCCGCTGTTCCGCATTTATAAATGGTTTCCTTTAGCGTGAGATGGTGTAATTTTTTTCGACTCTGTTATTTGTTCAGAATTTCGTTTACTATTGCATACGCCAGAGAAGCTAAGTGCTTAAGGTATATTCTGCTGAACGAGGGCGCAGGTCTGATTCTCGGCCAATGCGACCACATTTAGGTAGAGGCGACGTGCAACAGAAAAAGAAAAACCTTATTACATTAGTTTAGGTGCATGGTATGTAACCTCAGGCAGTTATAAATACATCCGGTATGACAACCTGTGGTGTTTCTTATAATAATTATCATAAATTTTGTGCCTAAAATTTTATATTCTTTTTTTTTCTTATTGCATATTTCGTATCTTTATGTATGATCAGATAAAAGAAAATTTTCTGCTAAGTTGAGAGGTACAAAAAATGTAAAAAGACGTTTCAGCTCCCCTGCGCAAGCCGGAACGCGTTTCCGTGGACGTTAATTAGGCACCAGAAAAACACTTGTTCTTAGATGACAAAAGCAACCAAAGTAAATCATATAATTTGAAAGATTTACCAGGAAGTAGCCATTCGCTAAGGCTTATGCCGAGTACACAGTTTCTGCATTAAAATATGACGTTTTAGGAGAGAATTGGACGATTAGCTGAGGAGCTACACTAATTATAAGGGCATTATACAGATTGGCGGTCACATTTCTATACGAATGACACGAAGTCAATCTAATTCATCCTTCTCCTGTGCCTCTATAAACGAGTCCAAAGGTCATTCACGCGCTCAGTCAATGCAAATGACACTTCGTGCACGACTGTTTTAGCACTCTCTGGGCACCTTCAAAGAACGCCTCAAAGTTGCCATTATGTAAGCCTGTCGATTATGCTGTCATTTTCAGTACAATGTCATTTTCCTTGGTACATATTGTTTAACGTTGTATTATGTCTCGGTTCCATTATCTTTCTCTTTAGCCGGCATTGAGAAGGTTGCGAGCAGTCCGAAAACATAATTTTTATAATATCTATCCTACTTAACATGCAAAGCTCAGTTTTTTCCCTTCATCTCAAGTGAGCAAAGATAGACGTACCCCTCTTCTCTTATCGATGCGTGGTATCTTTCATTTTGCTACAGACCTCTTCCATGAACACTCTGTGAGTGAAGCAACTTTACCTATTTATTTATTTATTTATTTATTTATTTACTTTTTTGTTAAGAAATACTGCCAATCTCAAACGAGATCAAGGCAGGAAAAGGGCAATCAGTTATTTAGAAAGAACGATAGCTGTCAGGACCACGATAAGTATTGTTGTTGGAAATGAAAGGTCGTAGATAATATTGCTATAATCTAGCTTGGTGTTGGGAATTTAAGTAACTTGAAACTGTATGACTAAGTCACACAAAAAATGACATGCCGTGCACACTTGCCAAAAACATTTGTTACGACGAGGTCAAGGAAGCCATACCACCGAACGTACTTCACGATCTTTTAATTTAACTGAAGTTGTTTCATAGCGATTGTATACCCCTTATTGTTTTCTATATACGCACAACGAGGTCATAAAACTTGCTGTAATTTAGCGCGGTTACACCACCATTGTCGAGTGATATCACGGTTTTGCTTGCTTTGGGAAAGGACGACCTCATTCGGTTTCAGAGATTCAACTTTCTTGCATGTATTGGTTTAGGCTAGCAAGACAAGTCTACACACTTCTACTGCACGCATTTACTAAGAACCCAATGTGTTGCGCTGCAAGATGACACATACACTGCTGCACTGCTGTCATCCAGGCGGTTTCTGAGCCTGATCCACGGCACTGCATGCTTGAGCTCGCAGATTGGCCGTGTTTAACAGATGTCGCTGGTCTTGAAGGCGTAAGCTTCTAAGCTGCAGCTGCCACTAGGAGTGTAAGATCAGCGTGTCCGTACACACCGTCTATCGCTGGACCCATGATTGGAAATAGTCGTGCGTGCTTGAACTTTAACTCGTTTTATCGCGACGTGGCGCGTTTGCGAGAAAGCTTGCGGAGCTTCCATGCAGCGTCTATTCTGGAAAACTGAATAAACAATTTATTGTTTACAATCTGAGCAGAACAGGCAGTTCAATCGGCACATAATCTCACAATGACATGTAAGCCATTCAAAAGGCAAGTACATGTTTTTTTCTCAGTTAAATGGTGTGTCTCTTCGGCAACCTCAAACAGCAGTTTGTCGTGCCGGCTGCGGTGTAGAAGTGACCGAATGAAGTTCAGCTTCACCTTGAAATCACTGAAAAAGAGTCCATTTTTGTGCCCGTTAGTCCTTAACTAATCGTAATGCGGAACGAAGCACTGTGGGCACCACTGTCATTGCTATAGTAAGGTCGCATGTCTTGAATTTGATTGTTGCGGCTTTTATTGGTATCACAAGAAACGCAGCTTTGGAGCTTACATTCACCTAAAAAGGTATTTTGAGGGTTTGTAAAGCACGAGGAATATAGTGCTATCGCCTTCATGTAAAGTAGTAGCGCTTTCTTGACTCGGCTTGTAACAATGATTATAGAAAGACGTTGAAAGGACCGGCCATGAAAGACTCCAACCCCGCGTCTACTGGCTTGTGTGGTGGGGTGAAGAAGCATACAAAGTGAAAGAATGCTCGACAAACATGAAGTGTGTCACAATGAGCCAAATGGCTCCTCGGATTCAGACGAGACGTTCCTCCACTGCATCTCCATTATGGCTTTCGCCTTCTGGGCGTCTTAGCGATAGCATAGGTGATAGTCGGAAATATTTTAGACTCTGTAAAAACGAAATGTAAATCTCTTGCAGAAGAATAATGAGCAGAAAAATTGCAGCATCTTGCCCTAAGTTTCTTAGAGCGGTGCAATGACGGAACAAGAATACGACGCAGAGATGAATGGCACGCTAGCAAAACGAACGCCGAAGGCTTTAAGCAGTGCCATATCGGAACCAGGAGCAGGGTACCTACCTTGACCCAAATGCAGCCGTAGCAGACGACGATGAGCAGAAGCGGGAAGAGGTAACAGAGCACGAGGTGTGCGAGGATGAAGTACAGCGTCGAAGAGCGCTCGTCCGGCCATTGCTCGACGCAGAGGGTGACACCTGGTATGCTGGGGTGGATAGGTTGCAGCGTGAAGTAAAGAGCCCAGGGAAACGTTATGGCCACCGAGAACGTCCAGATGACCAGCAGTATTTTACGCACGCTACGCGTCGACAACTGGCACTTGAGCGGATAGCAGATAGCCAGGCACCTGCGAGGACAGAAAGCGCTTCATCGCATTGCTCCACGCAAGTATAGCAAAGCATGCGGTTCGTCATCATAGCTTTAAACCCCTAACTTAAAAATAGGTTTTATGCGCTTTTTTATTGACAAGGCCAAGTGCAATTTGAGCCCCCTGACAGAAGGCGGAGACCTAGTGCAGACAATAAACCAAGCGTATAAACACGGAAAGCATGAACAGTGAAAGCACTGTTGAGGGATCATTCCCTTTAGGTATACGTGAAACGTGCATCTCGCAGATATGTTGCAGGTGTCTGCCAGCAGATTTTCCTGCTTCCCAATTAGAGTGGAAAATTTAATTTTTAACTGAGCTGAGTTTGACCATGTCGCTTGCAAATTGAAGAACGGATGACAAAAATGTATTCCCATTCCGGGGTACCGAATGCCGCTTTATGTGAAAGCTTGGAAAAGATAAACTGCGTTCTTTTTTATTCATTCGTTTGCATGTCTACGCAGAAGTTCTCAAAGAGGCAATGAAGAATGTCTCCTCTCCGGCTGCACGTGAAATTTATATTACGCCCATGGAATCAGAAGATGCAACCGTATTCGCGTGGTTCTCAGTTTTTCGTCAGATACACTACGGAAGCTCTCTGAATTTATTTTTTTCTATCAGCACTCTAAGATAATACAAGCACTCATTCTGTGAATGGGCAATGTATAGTGTATATGAATATATAAACTGAGTAAAAAGGCATATTTCTCAAAGCTTCTCCGACGTACGCTAAAGTGCGTAGGATAACAACCATAGCCAGCCTATTCCAATTGTAGTGGCGGGTTGGGTACCGGCCGCACCGGTGACATTGCGATGGAGGCAATATGTCAGGGTCCATTGTGCTCTGCGAACACCATATAATCAAATTTCAGGGGCCCTTCACCACGGGCTGCCTCGTATTCATGGCCGTAGCTTCGGCGCGCTTGTAAGCCGAGAGGCTGTATAAGTTTTTATTTAAACTGTAGGACGAAGTATTTTTTCAGTTATTCCCTATTCACCATTTCTAAAGTGAGCATACTGCCTTTGATGCCTGCAAATTTCTGAAAACTCCTCTCTTTATCTAATTTTTTAATGTCCTAGGCCGACTTTCGCATTCCTTGATATCCGCACTAATTGATGATCGCTTATTGATCCTGGGTGCACTTCACGTAATCCACGCTTACCTATTTTCTTATCTCAAAGTAAGCTTCTACATCGGCTATCAGTGTTTGTTCAATTATACACCCAGTTTTTTCTTCTTCTTCTTCGTATTACGACCATTATTTCCTCTTTTTTTTTTGCACTCTGCGTAATTCAGAACTTCATCTGAAATCACTTTGTTATTCTTTACCTGTCTGCCCCGTGTGTTATCCCCCGCAAACTGCACTGCTAGTATATGATTTCCTCTTTATAGACAGGGGTAAATTGAAAGTCTTATTCCGCCAATTTCAGTTATTCGGGGAATTTTCTCTGTATAAGCGCGCTCGTCTTTTAGACGCTGGCCTATGCTTAAGGGCCCTTGTGCCAATTCGAGGGTAGGTTGCCTATCGTGAACTCCTGCTGGTTCGCCAAACTATGGAGTGTTATTCCTGTTATTATTAAGTGCTGGAGTTTTGCATGCCAAAAACCTGATATGGTAATGAGACACGCCATAGAGAAATGCTGGAGAAATTGCGACTATATTAAGTTCTTTGCTTGCCCGTTATCTTTGTCTTTATTGTATTTGAACTGAACGATAATTTAACATTTTCTCGGTTGCGCTCCTGACTCATTTGTTGCGACTTGATACCGTTATTGCTGAAGAGCGTATTATTATCTGCAAAACATAGTTGGTGGGACATTCTGCGTTAATATCATGTTTCCTTATATCTCTGGGACGCATACGTATAGATACAGCGTAAATAAATTGCGAAGTATCTGCCTTTAGAATAACGTGAGGCATCTATAAGTGTTTTTCTATAGACGTTCAAATGCGAGTACTTCATGCTTAAACGAAGTAATGAAAGTGATCAGTAAAACATTGACACTTCATTATTATTGGTTGATTGTTAGTTCTCTCCTTGTTATATTAAATTGTATATACGCGCACATATCTTACTGCTTCCTAATTGTGGCCCAATTTCTAGTTTATTACACACTTAATTTCATACTCATAGCAGTTCATCGATCTCGCATGACACACATGATGGTCTTCTTAGAGCAGTACAACGTATGTAGCCTTTTGTGTGCTGCTTACAAACGTAGGTGTGATTAAAAACTTGGTAATCGTAACTTATTTCACACGTATAAAAGGATTGATTTGCATCTTCTGAAAGCGAAAGTGAGGAATTTCTCGAACTAGCCCTTATGATAGCTTGTAGAACCAAGAACGATATGACAAATCACTAGTCGCCGAGTTGTATGGTAATAAGCCGGGAAAAAAAGTGACAATCAATTTTGAAAAAAATAAGCTAAATTACTGAGAGCCTTTCTTATGGGGGGGGGGGGGGGTTGAAAGTATTAGTTTAAATCTATAATACGATGATTGACACCTCATGTACAATTAGGTTAGGCAGAGAGCAACAACTTTTCTTTAACAGCTTTTGCTAAGTGTGCGACCAATAATACAACAAACCCACTTAATATGATACTTAAACCCACATAAAGTGACGGACGAATGGCAGTCAGCTCGTGTGGGTTCTATGGAAGCAAGCATAACTTCTGAGTGATCACGAATGCGTAAATATTTGGCAAATCCGCATTTGGTTGAGCCTATCTCAACATTTTTATTAGAGTCAATCCGGTAAGTCATAAGGAATGATGTATTATCTGTGATAACATTCGAGTGGGCTTTCTATGCTTATTAGTGCTGTACTTCATTCATGAAAATGCTTCACGCCTTTCAAAATATGGCATTGTACAAGAAGTGAGTGCGCGGCACACACCTTACTGTTTTTTTTTTTTTTGCGATACACTTGCTTCTGATGGTGGCTGTGAGGTTGGCCTCGCGATCAAGGTTAACGAAAGATTCCTCAGTGCCTTTTCGCGCATATTTACATATATATATCTTGTAACAGCGAGCTGTGTTACGATGGTTTTATTTACAGGAGGTGAACGATGCTCGTTTGCGGCAGCACACTGCGATCTTGCCAAGACTCTTCGTCTTCCTCTGCTTCTCTTCTCTACCTTTTTCTAGTCTGTTACATTCCCCCGCAAGCAGACGAAGCCCGTAGGACGAGTTATGATGCACAAGGAGGGTAGAAAGGTTTCAGGCGATCAACGTGAGTGAGCTGCGTTCTGCTCGATCGCCTACCATTAGACAAAAGACGAGCTATTACGTAAGTGAGCTGGCTTAGACGCTCCAAAACTACAAATGGGCCTGAATATCGTGACAGAAGCTTTTGATATAATCCACGCTTGCGTTGCGGTGTCCAAAGCAACACCAAGTCACCTTTTTCGAATAAAACCGGTTCGTGACGGTCGTCGTATCATTCCTTTCAACGACGTTGAGAGGCCAGAGTACGAAGACGAGCGATTCGACGGGCTTCTGCCGCGAGGCACAGGGTGTTTGATACAGAGTCGTCATTGTGTAGAATGAAGGGTAAGAAAGTGTCTAGAGGGCTTAGTAGCAACCTGGCGTACAACAGATAAAATGGGCTGAAGTTCGTTGTTTCATGTTTTGCCGTGTTGTATGCGTACGTGATAAAAGGCAGCACTTCATCCCAGTTTTTGTGATTGGAAGAAACGTACATGGCAAGCATGTTGGTCAGCGTCCTGTTTGTCCGTTCAGCGAGGCCATTCGTCTGTGGGTGATACGGTGTGGAATGACGGAACTGTGTCGTGCACATGCGTAGTAATTCTTCAACAGCATCGGCAGTGAACTGGCGGCCACGGTCGCTGATAATAACACCCGGTGGGCCATGGCGAAGGACCACGTAGTGAAGCATTCTAGAAGTCCGCCACGGATGCAGCGGTAGAAGAGGGAATAGCTGTGGTTTCGGCATACCGCGTGAGATGATCTACGCAGACGATTATCCAACGCTTCTTAATGCTAGATAACGGAAATAGACCCATAATGTCAATTCCTACTTGTTCAAAAGGTGTGCTGGGTGGTGTTAACGGCTGAAGGGGACCTGGTGTAGCGGTGGCCGGGCGCTTGTGACGTTGGCACGTCTCGCAGCTAGCGACGTAACGCTTCGTCGTTTCGTACATCTTGGGCCAGTAAAAGCGTTCCTGCGTGCGGTTCAGCGTTTGTATGAAGCCGAAGTGACCGGACGTCGCATCGTCATGCATGGCACGTAGAACACCGGAGTGAAGGCTCTCGGGGACAACTAGAAGAGAACGTGCTCCAGGGCTGGAGTAGTTAGTTTTATAGAGCAACTTGTCTCAGACAGTAAAGCGACCACTGTGTTGGGAGGCACGTGCGGCGGCAAAAAGAGGATCCAAGTTGAGATTATTGCGTTGTTCTCTCTGGAAATCAGCCGCGTTGGGGAACGTGCTTGTAACAGCAGCAATGCAGTCGTCAAAATTCTCAGCATCGCAGTCAGTAGTCGCAAGAGGAATCCGGGAGAGGCAGTCTGCGTCAGCGTGACGACGGTCATTCTTGTACGACACCGTAAAGTCGTATTCCTGAAGTCGCAGCGCCCAACGTGCGAGGCGACCAGAGGGGTCACGCAAACCAAACAGCCAGCATAACGAATGGTGATCGGTAATTATCTTAAATGGCCTCCCGTAAAGATAACAACGAAACTTATGCACATCGAAAACAGCTGCCAGACATTCCTGCTCCGTAACTGTGTAATTGCGTTCTGATTTGTTCAGGCAACGGCTGGCATATGCCACGACATGCTCTGCGCCATTGTGACGTTGTACAAGCACCGCGCCTACACCGATACCACTAGCGTCCGCGTGGACCTCAGTCGGGCAAGATGGATCGAAGTGACGCAACAGTGGTGCTGACGTTAGTACAAACTTAAGTTGTGAGAATGCGGCGTCACACTCTGTTGTGCAGTTGAAGGTTG